TTCTGGTGTAAAAAGGTTTGCATCCCGAGCCGGGTAAGGAGATATGGGTAGAGTTGATGATTATGAAAACTAGCTGAAAGAGACCCATCCTGACAAGCATCCCAAAAATTCTGAGAAGGTTGAGAGGAAGAGAAAGAAAGCAAAGACGTAGAAAAAGGTAAGAAGATTACATATAATATAAAATAAACTCATAGTAAAATTAAAATTATTTTAGGAGACCAGAAGGTCAACCAGTGGGCTAGAGGACAAACTCAGCCTCACAGCCTTCTGTGAAGCTTACTATTTCGAGCATTACTTGAGAATGTACAACCTAATAATACCTCTTACATCCACAATTCTGCAATCGCTCGTTATATTTCAATGCTGCAAAACCAAGATAGTATACGCTAGATGTTTAGATGTTATTACCTATCCTAGTACTATGCATAGCCTATTCCGAAGCTTTAACAAGAAGCTACACACTCGGTGACGAAAGGCAGATTGGAAGATTTATTACTATGGACCTCGATTCAAAGCTTACGTGTTTGTATGAAAAATTGGAAAAAGATATGCTCTTGAAACTGAACCTTAGTGTAGGTTTTTTCCTAAAACTCCATTTTATTAAAGAAAAAAGGAGCTTTATTTGTATTGATTTTTGTAGCCCTCATTCCAATCACGCTTCCCAATGTCGATGCGTTTGACTTCTCCATCGGGAGAATTTTCTGAATGGGCGGAAGGCCCAGGAGAAGCCTACATGAAGCACAATGTGACTGAAGACGGGGATTACGAAATTTGCGTGAATGCTCCTCGTCCAGTTAAAGTCAATCTGAATATTTTCTTCCACAACCCAGAAAAAATGGAAAAATCACTGGATCGATACCTGAAGGCTCATGAGCTCAAGGGAAACGTGAGGGTAAGTTCATTTAGCACATTTATTATCTATATCATTTTTTTTCTACTATCTTACTTCTTACAAAAACATTCAGAACGCTATCACATCAATAACGGAACGGCTCTACAGTACTCTCTACTCTATCAAATTTTACAACAAAGTAATCAATCTTTCTGATTTTCAAAACTTCCCGATCTCATCCTGCTTTTACAGATTTCAGTTCGCGATGAAGCCATGCAAGAGGCCAACTCCAACTACATCACGGGCTACGTAACCCTTTTCTGCGTCAGCTATATCATTATCGCTATCATCCAAGTCGTTG